AATTTGCATAAAAATGGCCGCCACATTTTGCCGACAACACTTTGTCGGCAAAAAGCGGCAATCTAGCGGGGGGATCTGTTGAGAAAGAAAGCCTTTTTTGAGAGATCCCTTATGCCTCCTGTAAGGAGGTTTACAGGATCTCTCGAAAAAGGCTTTCTTTCTCGACAGATCCCCCTCTAGACTGCAGCTTTTTGCCGACAAAGTGCTGAGTCGGCAAAATGTGGCAGCCATGTTTATGCAAATGAGGCATGGGATGTTTAAATCCCTGCCTCATTTGCAGTGTCGACCTGCCTAATCTGCATCCCTCTGCCGACAGAGGGATGCAGTCTAGACATACCCTGAGATGCTAAACGGCCTGATGAGTTCCTATTTTCAATTTTGCAGGTGATCTGAGGTGAATTGTTTAACTGAAGCTTTTATATTGAATTATGCAGCAATCATTCTAATTAAAAGATTGATGGGAAGGAGCAATTATGAATTATATTCACCCTCTGGGATGGGTGTTGGGTACAAAGCATTGTGTTTTCCTCTCTCTCTTGGGAAAGTGAGATTAAGCCTCGGGTAGATAATAGAAAGCGAGAGTAAACATTTGGAACACGCAGCATGCAGATGTTTTCGGCTGATGCATTGCATTAGGAATGATCCCTGATGCAACTCTGTAAAGCATGTAAAACTGAGTAAATTTAAATCCCAGGAAACTGACTAGGGACAGGGAAATTTGGAGGTAAGGAATAAGAACAATTCTGCAGATTCTGGAATGAAATTCGCCCTTCTGCAGAGAACCAGCACAAGATTTATACATCTCATAAGTCCCACGTAAGGACTTTTGAGGATTGATAGCACTTAAGTAGCACGTGGGTTTTATGATGGCTTGTTATGCAGGCATGAACATATCCAGTATGACAATCCGAAGAAATAACTTACACTGAAACCATGACATACCAGCATACATTTTCCTGGTTTTTTTTTTAACTGTGGCAATTAGGTGGCATGTGTGGGGGAAAAAAACCACTTTTTTCCTTTCTCTCTGCTGTATGCTGAATTAAAAGCAGCCTTTTGGGGTGTTCCTCTGACACTGTACAAACTCTATGTATTAAGTTTAGCAGTTCCAGCTGGCAAGCAAACTGACACACCTGTCTTTTAAATACTTGCTTACCTTTAAAGATACTTTCTGAAGGGAAGGAGCCTGAACAGTTATGAAGTCTCAAAAAAAATTCAACTGATCACAGTTTCAACTGATAATCACTGTTCAAAATTATTGCCTAACCCTAGCATACTCTGACTATGTATGCTAGTCATTTCTCAAGCTAAAAGCTGCAGCATAAAATTGGCTGTGTCTTCTTTTTAAATCTTTACAGTCTGAGTCTTTGTTAGACCTTCAGATTCCTTAAATGGAGTAACAGACTTTGATGAAACAACTGTTCAAGTGGTAGGATTTACCAAGTTTCTATCACCCAAAAGGATTCCAAAGCATTATACCGATTTACAAACTTCCATTTAGAAATATCCTTGCCTTTCATTGACATGCAAGGAATCTTTTGGAGTTAAACTCAACAGCCTGAAGCAATGTTGCACAACAGTTAGGAGAAACTTTGAAGAAAAATCGTATACATTATGGGAACAATAGGTGGAATTTAGCTGTAGGCGGGATGTAATTGCGCAAACTGGAGCGTTAACTCGCTCCAGTTCAGAGTTTCACACGCTTTTTGCACCACTGTAAATGACTAGACAAGAGACATGGCAATGGAGAATCAGGTTTGAGATCTTAAAAGATCGCAAGTGGTCAAGACTTTAGTATTACAATACGTCTCATCCAAAAGAGAGCTCAGTTTTTTTCTCATCAGGACTTATGTACTGATCCTTCATATATTGAGACATTTAAATGATGCAGATTAAGGCACTTTCTCTTTAGACCCTCAAATTACACAGGGATATTTCCAAAAGCGCATTAGGGCACCCAACTCCCATTGAAACTAAATGGGAATTGAGCACCAACCTCACATTGGTGCCTTTGAAAATCTTGCCCATTTCAAATACAGGCAGTCCCCGGGTTACGTACAAGATAGGGACTGTAGGTTTGTTCTTAAGTTGAATTTGTATGTAAGTCGGAACTGGTACATATTGTAGGGGAAACTCTAGCCAAACATTTCTCCAGAGCTCAGTTTTATTTTCCCACACCTCACTTCCCTCAGTCCTTTATTCTCAAGCTGAGGTGTCTGCTGAGAAAAGCTGCTCCGCGTCTCCCTGTTCTACTGGGGGGGGCGCTAGCTTCGCGCCTCCCTGGTCTGCTGAGGGGAAGCAGCTAGTGTGGGGTTGCCTCACCCCATTTGTAAGTAGGGATCCGATGTAAGTCGGATCCATGTAACCCGGGGACTGCCTGTACTTTGTATAGGATTTTGTTGTTGTAAGGGACAACCCAGTTTCCATAGCTAAAATACCACTCTCCACACATACCTGAGAACGGTGTTAAATTTGGAAAAATGAAACATCCTTATGTCCAGGCTCTTGTTAACTTGCTTATTTGGAGTTTTTTTGTTTATTAAGATTACACCTCCATATATTCTGTTCAATATCTTCTTCAACAATTTAGATGATGGCATAGAGAGTACGTTTACTAAGTTTGCAGATGATACTAAGCTGGGAGGGGTTGCAGCTGCTTTGGAGGACAAGGTCAGAATTCAAAATGATCTGGACAAACTGGAGAAATGGTCTGAGGTAAATAGGATGAAGTTTAATAAGGACAAACACAAAGTACTCCACTTAGGAAGAAACAGTCCGTTTCACACATACAGAATGGGAAGTGACTGTCTAGGAAGGAGTACTGAAGAAAGGGATCTCGGGGTCATAGTGGACACAAGCTAAATATGAGCCAACTGTGTGACGATGCTGCAAAAAATGCAAACATGATTCTGGGATGCATAACAGGAGTGTTGTGAGCAAGACACGAGAAGTCATTCTTCTGTTCTACTGTGCGCTGATTAGGTCTCAATTGGAGTATTGTGTCCAGTTCTGACCACCACATTTCAAGAAAGATGTGGAGAAATTGGGGCAGGTCCAGAGAAGAGCAACAAGAATGATTAAAGGTCTTGAGAACATGAGCTATGAATGAGGACTGAAAGAATTGGCCTTGTTTAGTTTGGAAAGGAGAAGACTGAGGGGGACATGATAGCAGTTCTCAAATATCTAAAAGGGTGTCTGTCACAAGGAGGAAGGAAAAAAATTGTTCTCTTTGATCTCTGAGCATAGGACAAAAAGCAATGGGTTTAAGCTGCAGCAACTGAGGTTTAGGAAAAACTTCCTAACTGTCAGAGTGGTTAAACACTGGAAAAAATTGCCCAGGGAGGTTGTGGCATTTCCATCTCTGAAGATATTTAAGAGCAGGTTAGACAGACATCAATCAGGGATGGTCTAGATCAGTGTTTCTGAAAGTGTTCTACGGAATCACTCTCAGAAACACATTAACTGGCCGTCCCTGTTTGCTTATTTACTGGTGCCATGGCCACGGAGTCTCGTGATTCCCATTGGCTCCATTTTGTCCTTTGCAGCCAAGGGGAGCCGTGGGAAATGGTAGCCCAGCCCATGCTACTTCCCGCGGCTCCCCTTGGCTGCAAAGGACGAAATAGAGCCAATGAAAGCCACAAGGCTCCATAGCCATGGTGCCAGTAAATAAACAAACCGGGGCAGCCAGTTCATGTGTTTCTGAGAGTGATTCTATGGAATACTTTCAGAAACACTAGTCTAGACAGTACTGGGTCCTGCCATGAGGGCAGAGGACTGGACTCAATGACCTCTTGAGGTCCCTTCCACTTCTAGTGGGTTTTTTTAATTATTATTCTATGTTGAAGTAAAGAAACATAGCAAACAACACGCTGTATTAGGGAGAAGACTGATCATATCCCAGACATTGCTATATTGCTGCAGACCTGGACGCTTATCTGGGTTTTTTGACCAACTGAACAGAAGGATGATAAATCCTTAGTCAGATGAAAGAATATTTGCTTTAGTTACAATTTAATATATTTGTACCTCTTTTTATTTAGTATATGTTTAATTTAAATCAAATAGCTCGTACCCTTTCGTAAGCACAGAACAAGTCACAGGTAGGACAGTATGTATAACAACAGGGATCATCATAATGGAAAGATACACAACCTTATCCCCTCCTCTTTGTTATGGGCAGATAACCTGTAGTTAATAAGAATGAAAAAAGTGTTCCTCAAAATATGGTTCTACTCTGAAATCTGACCAGGTTATACCTCTGTGGTTTCATAGGTATTCTAGTTCTCCACTCTTTTGAGACCTTAGCAAAGGCAGCATGTAAATGCAAAGTAGTTTATGCTGAGCTCACTTGTCTCTGAGAAGCTGCATGAAGAGGAACCTCCATGCAAAGGATAGACAGTGACTCATATACTACATTGCTGAGAGAGCGAATTGGCAGGCAATGTTAGGAAAGCTGGGGGCAAGATGGTGCTTATTGTCTCCCTCCTCCCCTCAAGCCCTTTGTAGAATCAGTAGGAAAGCTAACAGAGCCTAATGTGGCTTTAATTTTGTCCCACTCTATACCATGCCCTCATGTCCCCTCCCTGTTCATATAAGCGTCTAGAGGGACAGCTGCCAGAGGAGGAAGCAGTGGCCACATAGCTCCATTGGTGCATGCTAGCCAGATTGTGTGCAGGGGGTTGCAGAGCCACTGTGGCGGCATGGCAGGAGACAAGGGATGCTTTATTCATTCTGCAGCAGGCCAACTCCCCTCTATTCAAATCCTCTGGAAGGCACTCTCAGGTTTTTTGACATTCAAGTCCGTTATTATTTATCAGCCTGCATGCCCCAATAAAATACCTCTTGCCACAGTCACATCTGGCAATATCAGTCATGTTAGTTTAATCCACGGATGCAAATACAAATGCAAATGGGCTGTTAATCAGAGTGAAATTACCATTAATAGGACTGATAGCAATAGTCTGTGAGACAGCCACTGATCATTGTGTTTCTGCTTCTAGGTCTTTGACAGAGTCCGGGAAGATTGTCCTAACTTCCAGGAGAAGATTAAACCTATTAATTCAGAACTCACCCAGCCAAATCTGGCCATCAGCACCAAGGACTCACAAGAGCTCTTGTCCAGGGTCAATATTGTCTTCCACTGTGCAGCAACTGTTCGCTTTGATGAGCCACTAAAGTATGTTCCTTTATTCTATGCTGTTTTGCTTTGATTAAGCAGAATGTAGCTTTTAACTGGGGTACACGCCATCTGAGAAACTATGCAATGTCTTTTTGTACAATTACAATATTTAATGTTTACATACGTTTTCAAACTCTACGTAAGTTCAGGACTGGATGTACAATTTCAAGAGCTCAAATTAGTGACTATCTAAAATACCATGAATGCCCGACCTTACAAAACACACACAGACATGTCAAGATAGAAGTACTTTGGCATTGTGTCATGGAGCCCAGGATTAGAATAAAAGCGAGTACTACAAATTGGGATTGTAGTGCAGCCCCAGAACTGGATCAGCAGGAGGGTGCTATGCGTTGGCTCTGCAATATTTTGTCAGAGCTATCTGGAAGGAGAGCGAAATGAATCTAGACTATCTTTGATTCTACAGCTAGTGTTAGTGGTCCTGTGTTTTCATTAAAAGTAACTTGAGAGAAATTATATATTTTTGAAGTAGAATAATTTAAATAGCAAATCACCAGGTGCCTTCACATTTTAAAATATTCACCCAGCTTTGGAAATGTTCTCTTAATTGTAATGAGACATTTTAAAAAGATGGCCAGTAACTGTGTAAAAGTGCTACACAGTCCTCTTTTTTGTTCCAGTAACTTAGATTTCCTTGAGAAGTACATGGTTTGTACATTGTCACATATTAACAAAAGAGTTCCTAGAATAATGGGGTCTGAATTATGGTTAGTACCTTCGAGTCCAACTTTAATAATGATGATGATATGATTGTGGTCATAGATACAGGCCCCAAAAGAGTTTCAATGTCCCTCTCTGAGACATTACATTGATTATGTCTCCTTATCAATCAAATGAGGGGCTTTCCCCCACTTTTTATTACTATAACTATTTTTAGTTAAACACTACAAGGGCCAGGTGGGAATCCCCTCAGAACATTGTATGAATGTGGTATGTATTTTTTGCCTTCCTTTGAAGCAAGGGTGAGTTCCTGCTGTGGGCAAGATAGTGGAATTCGTGGACTGTTGATTCTATATGGCATGATAGATCAAATGTTTTTGTGTTCCAAACACAAGGTTGTTAAGATGAGATTGTAGGTAGAATCGAGAGAATTTTTTTCAGCCAAAACTTTTTTATTTAAAAAAAAAATGGAATTGGCTACTGTGAAAGGTTTTGCAAGTTCATGTTGGTTTCTCCAAATTGTTCACATCAAGGGAGGGAAATGCTGAAATATTTTGCTTTTATATTTTTTAAAGTAAATATTATGATTGTTAAATTTGAAATTACTTGTTTTATTCAGAATTTCTTTTACTTATATTTTTTAAGTGTTTTTAAAACTTTAAATCAAAATTAAACATTGTATGTTGAGTTGAACAACCTTGTTTTATTTGCTGAACTTTTTTAAAAATAATTTTAATTTCTCCAAAACCATTTTTCCCCAGAATTGTCAGTGCACTGTTACTCATCTGGCTACACTTTAGACTAGGTAATATGGTGTATTGCATGTAAAATAAATTACTTTAAATGTACTTCTTTGTCCAACAACTATAACTCAGGGTATTTCTGTCCAGCCCAGCTGAATTGAGTTAGAGTTCCTCTTTTTTTTTCTCCAAAAAATCTGAAAGCTCCTCCTGCTGATAAGTTTGCTGAAACTGTCCCCATCTTTCCCAATGTCTCTGCCTCCATGGAGGAGAGCACATTTCCTCTAATATGAAGTCTGCAATCATGCTCAGGTACAGGGAGAGCAGGTATCCATCAGAACTCAAGCAGACAACCACCAGAACACTTTGCACATATTCTTAGTGTTTCAAGGAGGATCTGAAAGCTCCTCCTGCTGATAAGTTTGCTGAAACTGTCCCCATCTTTCCCAATGTCTCTGCCTCCATGGAGGAGAGCACATTTCCTCTAATATGAAGTCTGCAATCATGCTCAGGTACAGGGAGAGCAGGTATCCATCAGAACTCAAGCAGACAACCACCAGAACACTTTGCACATATTCTTAGTGTTTCAAGGAGGACCTTCA